ACCCCACACCAAACCTGGCCTCAGAGCAATGCACGGAGGCAACGTTTGTACCAACCTTGTCCTAAACCCAATTGCATAGGTTCAGCTCACCAACACCAGCGCTGCTCTTGATCCCTCCGCAGTCCCTTTCAAAGCCTGCCCCACAACCTCTTCGCTGCAAATCCAAGCATGGACACTTCTCACGCAGAGGTAACACCCAACATCCTGCGTGTGAGATCTGCTACAAGCTCCCACAGACACAAGCACAACAGACACCCAGTAACTGCACCTAGTTTGAGATGGACCCGCAGATAACAGCCAGACAGAGCTACCTAGAAGCCACATGGCTTATCAGATCCAGCAGAAACTTTGGCTTTGGTACCTAGTCCTGCAGGCTAAATAAAGAGCTATTAACATCTCATACTAGCGATGCTCAACATCAATAATGGCCATTAGCACAGTCACTTCATGGGGAAATTGAAATCAAGATTGAGCATTTAATTACCAACACTGTCTCCCAGAGTCATTTCAATCAGAGCTATTTTGCACCTTCCACCTTGACAGAAAAATCCCCAAATAGCCACCGTGAACCCTGAACTTATATCACTTAATGGTTTGCTCTTAACAGCAGGGCTGGCTCTATTTCCAGCTTGGACTCTGGGAGCCAGAGGGTTAACTAATAATATCACACTAAAATAACCCTGTCCAGATGGGTACAAAAAATTTGCTGCCTGACAAAGGGCAATAAAGTGTTCTGTTGCCAGAGCAGGAACAAAGAGTAGCACAGAAAGAGGGCTTGCAAGAAATGGTATCAGCTGTTTATTTACAATAAATAAATGAAGTCATGGGCACCCGCTGAATAAATGGGAGGAAGAACATGTAGAAAACTGTGTCCTTCTGGAGCAAAATATTGCATCACCGACAGAGTGAACACACTTCTTATGAAAGGGGGAAAACAGGACCTCTGGGCTCCTGGAAGTCCTTCATGCAGGAAAAAGAAGTTTCCCCATGAAGGTTGTGATGAACTCTGATCTCCCAGTTGAGAGACAGGGCACAGGCACTGGGAAAGCTGGGAGTGTTTTCCTGGGTTCCTGCAGCTCTTCAGCCCAGTGATGCAACCCACAGTGTTCAGCCAGCACAAAGCAGATGCAGACACTCGCTGTGGGTAAGATACAGAGTGGACACATCATTCCCAGGAAGATTTGTAAGGGGGATTCCTTCACCCATTCTCTTGCCTTTCTCCCTTTCCTTGCTTTGGTACCCCCATGGTGAAAGAGTCAAATTCACCATCAAGAGCAACAGCCAGATGCCCCAATGGAGCCATCAACCTGTTCCTTGTCTGGGACATAAAGGCTACGACAGAGGTTTCTCTTCACCCCTAGTAACTGCACATCTGCTTTCTCTGGCGCCCATGCTTCTTCCAGGCACGGCTTCCCAAAACCACAGCCTGCACCTGGGAGCAGCAAGGCCGGGGCTTTCTCCTGACTCCTTAGCAGTGAACTAGTCCCAGCACTGCATCCCTGGAGGGATGCTCTTGTAGAGCTACGGATGAGTAGGACTTTCTGGAGGGGGCAGGATGTTGCCTATATGGACTGCCTCAGCAGGACTCAGTGCTGTGGCCAGAGGTGGCAGCCACATCCAGGGAAAAGAGGGAACAGAGAGGGAAAAGTGCCTTTGCAAAGAGCCATCTTCTTATATACAGGCTTATCACCCAAAGGAGTAAAACCAGATGTGACTGAGTTGCCTTGTCCCATGTCCCTGGCCATCGAGGTCACCACGTGCAAGAGAAGTGCAGCAGCACATGGCTAATCCTGCACGAGAGCTCCGCAAGTGCATTTCGGTGGGAATTGCATGGATGGTGGGGGAGCAAGAGGCGCATGTCGGGAATGAGCTCGGATGAGTTCATCCGATAAAAATACCCTGTGCCTCATAACGATGTCCTTAGCTGAAGAGGCAGGAATGTTGCAATACTGTTCCCCAGCAGTCACGGACAGATCAGCTTACAGAGCCCACAGAAATAAACCTCAAGCTGTTGGTGTGTTTACAGAACAACAACGCAAAGGTTAGGACAAGGAAGCCGGGAGGATCTGGTGGCCTCACTCTGCAGTGAAGGGGTATTTGCAGCACGGTCTGGCACTGACATCACCCCAAGAAAACTGCAAATAAGCCCCAGTGCTATGCCAAATTCAAACAAAACCCATGTAAGCGCAAGGAACACTTCACTATCCTGAGTCACCGGTGTTTCCAAGAGGATTCCTCCCTCTAATGGAAGGTGGAGAGATCTGGGCAGTTCCACAGCAACTGGAAGACTCTACTTCATCCTTCTATCTGGTGGGACTCTGAAGGACCTGTAACTTGAAGGCAAACCCTGGAGCTCCCTGATGAGGAGGACATGTCCCGGGTCTCCCAGCCATATAATGACATTGCTGTGTGGCTCTCAGGGCAGGATGGGTCAATAGCTTCAGCCTGGTACTCCATGGTCGCTACCATGGCCACCAGCCACTGAGGCTGACTCAGGCTGTACGTCTTCTCCACAGTGAACAGCAAGCTCTAGATTCATTGAATGGTTTGGGTTGGAAGTGACCTCAAAGCTCATCCAGTTCTAACCCCCTGCTACGGGCAGGGACACCTTCCACTAGACCAAGTTGGTCAAAGCCCCTGTGTCCAACCTGGCCTTGAACTTCCATATTCATCTTCCCCATCCCCAAAGCTCTTCTATGGCAAACCAGCACACCTCCTACACCCCCACAAACCCTTTTGCACAGCACCAGCAAAAAAGGCCAGCGCAAGACACCTGCCCTCACCTGTCCCACACACGATCCTCCCCACGCCTGCTCAGTCCCATACATGCTCCCAACCACATGCATTAGAAGCCTTTAAACCCTCCCTACCAAACCAGGCAGAGCCTGTACTGCCCGGTGTCACACGCAGAGCAGGGAAGTGCCACCAGCCAGAAGATGCACAGGGCATTGAGAGGCGATTGCCTAATCCCTCCAGCCTCACAACTGGAGCTTTGTACGCTGCTGCACCGGAGGAGGGATAGAGCTTCCCCTGCTCTATGCCACAACACAGCTCCGGGGACCAGCCCACGCTGCAGCTCTGGGTTTTGGTCTCAGAGCAACACTAACCAGAGGTTGCCGTGTGCCAAAGGCATAAAGTGGCAGGACACGGATCAGTGCGCTGACCGGTACAGCGCGGATCGAACGCGACGGGTCACCAGCCACCGATGAACAGCTCTGCAAGCTCTGGAAACAGCTCTCGCCCTGTGCCAAGGAAGGGCAAAAGCAAACAGGGTTCAGCCTCCTCCAGTGGCTGCAGCTCTCCCACTGTCCTAGGGGTTAGCAGAAGTGTTTGCTGTGTGCACACCCCTACTTTGGTGCATGTAAAGCATGCAACTTCACCACAGCAGGGCTGTCCAGAGAGCTGGGAAGGATTTAGCCCCCGCCACGGCTCAGCCACTTGGTGCTAGGCAACACTTCGTCTTGTTTTTGAAATTACTGTCTTCAGTGAGGTCAGGTCTTAAGTGCCTCTGGTGAAAAAATAAACACGCAAGCACAAGCTTGCAGGGAAAGGAGGAGGAAAGCGGAGCCCAGCAGTGGTTTAGGGCTTAAATTCATCTGTGCTGATATAAAACTGGGAGCAGGCAGGGAGTCCAGATGCATTTGAGTTAAGTCATGTGAGATCACAGCTCTCGCTGAACTTCTGGAAAAGGTAAACAAGTTCTATTGATGAAAGGGGACTGGTAATGCAGAGCTGGACCGGGGCTGGCCTTTGATGTGGGAGCAGCGTGCAGGGGATGTGCCGCAATCTCAGGCTGGTGCTAAGGAGCTGTGAGCTCAGAAAGCGACTCTCCAAACGCTGCTGCTTCTCTGGCTATAAACCTCCCCCTCAGAGAAGAGCCCTTGCAAAGTTTGGGGGTGTTGGGGGTCAGGGTATCAGCTTGGGCAGTTAAATGCAACATGACAAACAGCAATAGGGTTTGAAAAGCCCTTCCAGCTGCTGTTTGTGCACAGGACACTTGTTCCTCATAGCTGAGGTGAGTAATTTCTCATCCCTGTTGGGATCCTCATCTTTAAAAACATGTTCCTGGCTGAGAGTGAAAGCTCAGGGTGCTCCTGACTGCAGGACCTGCACTTCCCCTGTCCCCCCTCACCCCTGCACCCTCCTTCTGATCCACACCATTCACTGTAATGCTGGGGGAAGGCAGGCACCCGGGTGTAAACTCAATCTCCATCCCTTACAATATCATGTTTTTCCTACATGTTCCCCTTGGTTTTGCAGCCTGGGGAATGCCAGCTCTGTAATCAGAGCTGGAAAAGGTCACCCACAGGCTCCTGAGCCACAGAAGTCCCTGTGAGCATTGTATGAAGCTCAGCATGGATCAGAGAAACCCTCACGTGCCATATGCATCTGTCACAAAACTGGGAGGTTTGCTCACATCCCAGCACAGGGGAAGCCAACACGACACCCACAGGCACATTTGCAGGCAGGAGGCACATCTGCTGCCTGCACGCACTCTGGCAACCAAATCAAGAGGAGCAAGTGCATCTACTGCAGGTCAGGAGCAGATCAGCCTGTGTGGGACCAGTGAGCTAAACAACGTGGTGTAATGTCAGTGCATCCTGAGCAGCCCGGCTGATGAGAAGTGCCACCAGGACAAAAGAAATCACCACCAGTCTGTAGAGCCACCATAAACCGAAAAGGGAAAGAAAATCAATAGCATTGATCTCAGCAGCAAACTTCAGACTGGCCCCATTGAGGGGCAGAGATTCAGCCCCACTCTGACCTTTCCCCTCAAACCAAGCCAGCCATCTCTAACTGCTGCATGTCTCACATACTTGCATTTTTACACAACCCTCGCCTGTTACTTTTTACCTCGTCTGTTCCCCATGATCACAACTCATTTCCTCATTAGACATTGCTCGCTGGAGCTCTACAGAATATTCTTTTGAAAGAAATCTGGTTTAATTTACTACAAGGGAGTTAAGATTTTGGTTTCTCCCGTCCTCACTTGTGCTGCTGTGAATTAACAGCTGCCAGCAGGCAGGCTCGTAATGCAGCTAACTGTGGCACGAGGGAGCAAAGCTTCCATCAAAGTTTCCTTGTTATCAAAAGTTGACTTTTTAAAAAACAGTTTCAATTTTTCAATTAGTATTAAAAATAAGTAAATAAATAAAATAAATCAAGAGATGCCCTTTGCAAAACGTTCTGCTCAACCAAGCTGCAATCTCTCATTCAAGCAATGCTTAACTGCACCTCAGCCTTCTGGTTCTGTTGTTGCATCTGACAGCTTTTTGCAACTTCGAGTGGCACCCACTCATTCTTCTGAATCAAGGCAGAGAATAAAACCCCAGAGCATGCCAGGCTGTCACTGCCAGCATTTACAGGAGTGGGATGGAGCGTGTTTACCATGGAACTGCACAGAATCCTGCTCCCAACCACACTCACTCGCTTATCGCAGCCCTTCAGTGATCACATTTAGCCCTGTGCAGCTGAGCCACGTGCAGTGATTCTGCCCAAAACCATCCACTTGGAACCCTCAGCTCGGAGCAGCCAAGGATCTGCTGCAGCCTGCGCGTTGCAACCAGAGCAATACGAACACAAGGTATTGCTGGTGGTAACAAGCTTAATCTGACCCTCTTGGAGTGAAATACAAACTATGATGAACCAGTTTTGAAGACGCTTAGGTGCCAGGCAAGGGATGCTCTGCTAGTCCATTTATGACAGCCCCTGGATCACCTAACAGGGAGAAAAAGGTCCTACTTCTCAAACTAACCGGGCAAGTTTTGGGAACAGAAACCCTTTATAAACCAGAGTGCAAACCCACTTGCTCAGCAAGTTAGGTCAAGTGAGCACAAAGGGGAAAGGGGGTATTGGGCAGCGCTGCACCCCGATACTGACCTCCATCCGCAACCCGGCCACGTGCAGGCGAAAGGCTTTTCTCCCGTGTGCCTCCTCAGGTGGGCTTTCAAGTGGCTGCTTTTCGTGTACATCTTGGTGCAACCCGGGAAAGAGCATTTGTGCATTTTAATGAGTTCTGCTGCAGGGTTCTTTTGGAATTTCTGCCCCATGATGATCCCCGGCTGCCCCGGGATCATGCCTCCTGGCCCAATTGGCTTGGCGGCGATGGGGACGGGAGCGATGCGGACAAACTTAGAGGACAAGTTCAAACTGGACGACTGAACTATCTGAGGCACAAGGGCAAACGTCTGTCCTTGGATGTTGACTAGGAGCTGTGCAATTTTAATGTTCTCTTGTGCTGGTCCTTGGGAAGTGGGGCTCGTGTTGGATTCCTGTTTGATCTGCACAGGCTGAATTTGGAGCATAACCGGTATCCCATTCTCCAGGGACATTCCTCCATTTGAAGCTTGGCCACCTTCCGTTGCTGAGCTGCTCAACTGTTCGTTTTTACTCTCTTTTAAACTGGCGCTGGGTAACATATGGTCTTTTTGCTGTAGCGAAGCAACAGAAACTTGGCTGCAAGCTCTCAAGTCCTTGGTCTCGCTTTTAGGCCTTTCTTTGAGCTCCAACTCCATGTTCTCCTCCAGAAATTCCTCGATTTCCTCAAGCGTGGGCTGAAATGGTCCTGAGTCTTCCATATCCACAGAGAATTCAGGCAACCTAAAGTACTCCTCTTTCACTACCGGCTGAAGTCTCCTTTTGTCCCACCATGATGTGGCGGCGTTCCCCAAAGATGCCTGGGACAACAAGTAGTCTAAGATACTGTCCTGACTTTCTGCACTGGATGTGCTTCCATAGCTGGAGCTGAGAACCTGGGAGTCAGGGCTGGAACAAGAACAAAAGCTGGACGAGTCGCTGTCATCTTCAGACAGGGGAGAGGGCAGCATTTGGTAGGACCTCACCCCCGCTGTCATGTCCCCAAAGTACCCAAGGGAAGATCTTGTAGATGAAAAGGATTCATCAGTAGGCAGCAAGTGATCCACCATTCCTGGGCGATCTCTTATGGATATCCCAACAGCATATACCAGGCGGTGAAAGTTCAGGTGAGAGCCTGAGTGCAGGAAAACAAAACAGCAACAGTCAGAAGTTGGTTTAATCATTTATCTCCATGTACTAAGGCTCGTAAAGCTCTCTAGCCCACAGGAAAGGCCAGAGCATCCAGCCTCACTGAGTACACATGCTGCTACACGCTTTGATATGTCTGTACCACCCCCTAAGGACTGTCAGGGCCGAAGCATTTCGCAGGATTGCACCACATATTTGCAAAAGAATTCTTTCAGAACTCATTTCCCAACTGTGTGTGCTCTGGATTTACAGAATATTACTGGCGAGAGAAGATAAACGATGGGCTGAAAGCTAAGAGGGAACCCTAGAGCCAAGGAAAAGAATGAGGAGAAAAAAGAAAGTGTTGAAATTTTTACCAACAAAAAAACCACCCCAGAAATATAAAAAAAATGAGTTTATTGCTGGTGGCCACAAACACAAATCCTTCCCTTATCTCTTGTAGCTTTCCACCAACCTTATTTTTAACTTCCCCACTTCCACAAATACAGGCTAATCAGCATAATGCAGGGATCAATCTGTCAGGAGCCAAAAATATTTACTGTGCTTCAGCATCTAGGAGGCGGATTTTCCCCTCCAGATGTAATGAATCAGTGTGACAACGTCAGCATCACCTGCACTGCCCTTAATAAGGCTGGTGCTGCACTGAGCTCATTAACCACGGGCTGGCAGGCCAGCGGGTGGCTGGTGTCACCTCACCTCTCCATGCTCCTCTCCAGGTACAGAGGTTGAGGTGATCTGAACCTCGGGCTACACCGGGAGGGCTCATACAGACCCCCGGCATCTCAGTGTGCCCTGACCCACAGCAATTGCTCCAGATTCCCCCCCTTACACACTGCAATCCCCCATTCATGCGATCTATAATCCTGCTGCAAACCCATGGAGGCACGAGGGCAAAATCCATCCTTCCTAGCACAGCCGACAGCCCTGCGCTTTCCCAGCTAAACCATGCGAACTTCCTAGGAAGATTTATAGGGAGGGGAAAGCAGGGGGGGAATCTGTATATTTGTTTTCTTTCTTTCCCCCCCCCCTTCCCAAAGGAAAAATAAATAAATTGCTTACGGGTGGAGACTATGCCTCTTAGAGAGCAAACGCAGAGCCCTCCAGATGGAGCGAACACTGGCCCTCAGTCAGCTCAAGGTGACTGATTGAAAACAGAGCTGTCCGTGTGCATAATAAAACAACTCTTTCTGTGGAAGGTATGCGGGCTGCAGAGATAGGAGTCATTTGATCAGCGTATGAGGGTTTGTGTGTGTGTGAATTGGGAGGCATGTGACCCAGCGCGAAGGAAATGCCAGTCAATCTTGTTACACGCTGTCATTTTCCACAGGCTCTGCCGCTGCGCTTTGGACGCGCTTTGCCATGAATAGTCAATAGCTCCCAGTTCTGCGCAGGGAAGGGGACGGTTGTTACTGCTATTGCACAGCATCCTTGCTGCCCAATCGCCACGTTTTGCCCTGTCTTTGCCTTCTCTGGAGAAGAATCCAAAGGCATCTTACACGCTCAGTGCTGCAGCGAATGCAGAGCAAGGTATTTTACACAACACCCTTAAAGAGCTCCATCCCATTGGCAGCACTTAATATTCTATAGGAAAGGGGGGGGGGGGGGGGGGGAGAGAAAAAACTCCCAAACCAAAACATATTTCTTAAAGATCCAGCTTCCTCCTTCATAGAGACATGGAGGAAATAGGGGCAGGTTGAAAGAAAGACTTGGAGTGAGATGGCACGTTTTCCTGGTGTGCACAGCCTGTCAGCCAGCAGCGCCTCTGAACTGATAATGAAATGCCCACACGTGCCGAACACGAGGAAGTTCACACAGAGGTTAGCGGCTCTGCTGTGTGACCTTACCCTATAATCATTTCTTATAGTAAAAGTGAAGAGTCAGAAGAGCTGAACACACAGGGCTTCTTTTTTTTAAGCCTCTGCATTGATGGGAAGTTCCTCTGGAGCGGAGCTTTTCCCAATTTGCAAACAGAAAGCACAACCTGCTTCTGGGAAGTTTGCATTGGCTTCCAGTCAGAATTCACCCAAGCAGCTCGTTCCTACCTTGCACCAGAACCTGCTGACTGCCCCATGAGACGTGGGGCAGAAAGCAGGTCTTGCCCTCCGATGGTTTCTGATTATCCCTCCTACATCTGCACTGTTCCAGCTTGAACTTCTAAGGAACGGTGAGTGAAATCTGGACCGAAATGTGGGGTTTCTCTAAGGAAAGCTGCGTGTGGGGAAGGAGCGTGCACTGAGAGCAGCTGGGAAAGTCATTTGAAACAGAAAGTTCAAGTTTTCTTTAAATGCCTGCGAGAAATAGGAAGCCACATACCAAAATATCCATATGTTTCACTCGGAATAGAGCTAAGCTGTAACCTGAATAAGGGCTTAAACGATTGGGGGGGGGGGGAACAACAAACCCCCAGCAACTGCTGTGCCTGAGGTCCCTCGGCAGCAAACAGCCAGCATGCGTGTTCCCCATCTCTTTTGACAAGGAGCAATGTCACTTGGTGTAACCAGAGTCATTTTGAGAGGGGACTGTCAAGAGGAAAATAGATCCAAGAACATCACGGGCCAGATCTGCTTTCTGTGCACTCTCAAAACTTGCAGAACAGCCAAGAAGATTCCGGGGAATGCCTGGAATGCAGGATCAGGCCCGGGCTATATTTTATCCCAAAGGCCAGCCTAACAACCAGCCAGCTTTCATCCCGACTTTGGCTGAAGACACAGCCCAAACCAGAACCAAACAAACCCAAAAAAGCCAGGGCTGTGCACACTGTGAACGCTAACGATGCTGTTTACATGAAGCACTTTGGTCTCTAGGAGCCCTCCAAACACCTCAATAGGAGCACAAGCCACCCAAAACGAGCCGCTTCTCGAGTGAAACACAGCAGCTGCTCGGCAGCACGAGTGCCTCCAACATTTAAGAGTTCCTTGGGTTGTTACTATGTCCTTCCTGCCAGAAACATCTTGTTCTGTTTAAAACCTGTCCATCTGATCACCAGCTGAAGAAAATAGCAACAACCTCCCCCCAAAAAAAGAACAGAGAAGGCACATTCCGACTCACAGTAACATTCAAATGGAAAGTCCTGGGAACTTGCTGAGACATGGGACATACTTAAACTGTCACTTTCGGATGGTCGGAGCAGCACAACCGGTCCCACGGCAGTTCATGGGCTCCGATACACGGACACCGGTTTCCTATGTGAACTGCGACAGCTTGTTCTAGTTTAACACTAATCTCTTCAGCGTTTTCTCTTGTTCTCTAGAAGACTTTAAATCTCGTCAGGCTGACTCCTGCTCCGCAGCCAAACAGAGCCATAAACCAGCCACTGAACTAGGCCTGGCACTTTTAAGAAATTAAACTAGTAATGCGGAGGGGGGATTAAAAAACCCTAAAAAATAAAGGAGTAAATAAATACAGAGGTCAAGAGCCAGGAGGAAACCCGTTTGCCTCCATCTGTTGTGCAAGGTGGCTGCGCTGCTCCCTGCACACGGGGGGCAGTGTTTGTGTTTCGG